AGTACTTCTGGAACCACTGCAAAGACTGCTGTTCTTTAAAGAAGCTGCTTCTGATAGGCAAGTCCTCCCTCTTGTCACCATTCTCTGGCTCTACAGTTGTATGGGGAGTCCAATGGAACAAGTCATCTTCAAGGTCTGCAGTAGCAGAACCCTGGCTTTCTGTGCCCATGTATTTCTCTGTGTTCTCATGGTCCTCCTTTAAGAGTTCTCCCTCAGGCTTATCCGCAAGCCCTGAGGTCTTCAGATGTTCCTCAGGGTTGTCGTTCTTCAGATAATCAGAATTTTTATTCTGAAACACTTCAGCTAACTCTGGAGTCTGAGTTTTTATGCTGTCAGAAACGTCACTTCCTTCAGATGCTCTGAATGCTTTCTCATCTGCCAGAGGGCATTCTTTTTCCACCATTGTATATGGTTCCCTGCCTCCTGTGTTGAATCCTTTGGCTGCAGTCTCACGTTTTTTTTCACTGTCCAAAATCTTACTAGTTTCTTGCTTGCTTTCTTCAATTTTGGGGTCAGGATTAGTGGTCTCTAAAACTGCTCTTTCAGGGACTGGCAGATTAACATCAAACTGCCTGCCCTGAATTCCAGGGTTTTCTTCTTTAGACCATTTGGCACTTACAGCATTTTCATCCTCCAGTAGTTCTTCAGGGGGATGATCATTCTCTCCTGCTTCTGAAAGGAAAGCTGGTTCTCCTGTGCTGTCAGATTGGTCTGTCTGTCCTACTTCCTCTGTGCACTGCATTGCTTTGTGATGAAAAACCTCTTCATCTGAGGAGTCCTCTTTGGCTTCGCCCTCAGAGAGCCTTATCTTCTCACTTATTTGCTTATTGACTGTGGCAGCCACATCTCTTTCTTGTTGCCAAGAAAGATTTCTTCCCAGGATGGGAACATTTTCTTTCAGTTCTTTGGGCAAACCAATCTCATCTGGAGAGGAGAATCTAGGTTGATTTTTAGTTTTAAGAACGAGTTCCTCTTTAAATCCCTCACGTTGATGTTCCACTGGAAGCGTGTGTGGTTTGGCTCCATTTACTGAAGCGTCTCCCTCCACACCATCTCTGGATGCGTTAGGGTGGTTATCTCCCGTGACTGGTGCAGTACACAAGGATTCCTGTTGAATCTTTCTGGCATTCATTCCGTTCCCTGCAGCTTTCTGTGCAGA